TCTCCTGAATTCTTACTCAGTTGAATTTAGCAAAGACACATTTTAACTGAATTCAGCAAACTTATTCAGCTGAATTCAGCATAGGCACAAATTCATCTAAATTCGGAAAAGTCACTAGTTCTTCTGAATTCTTACTCAGTTGAATTTAGCAAAGACACATTTTAACTGAATTCAGCAAACGTATTAAGGTGAATTCAGCAAAGACACTTATTTAGATAAATTCAGCAAAGACATGTATTCAGACAACTTCAGCTGCTCAATTAAGCAAATATTAATAAAAAATTTTTTTTAAAAATCCCAGTGTCACATCCTCAGCATACGCATCATAGAGAAAAGGAAAAATTCTCACTCATTCATTGAGAAGTAGTTACAATTTTCCCTCATTCCTCTCTCTCTCCTTCCTTTCGCATTTAAAACATTCCTCAGGTTTCAAACATTCATACTCTACATATTTTCCACACGCTCATTTCCCTCTGTAGATGTATACATGCATACACTACACACATAGTCATTGCGTATCCGTAGCAATGGACAAGAAAAAAAATTACATGTTGTAAAATATCAATTGCACCCTTAACAGTTTCATGCTGTAAAGCAGCAACAACAACAAACAATGATAATGCACAACATTGTAATAAAGGCAACTGCGAGATATGTAGACACGCTACACATTTTAATAATAGTTATATGTCTCATATTATGTGTAAAAGTGAAGTCGGTGTGCGAGAAGAGAATAGAAAAAAAATTAAAAATTGATGAGAGGGAGCGGGGACGGTATATAAGTAAAGCGAGCAAACTGTTAACTTTCTTCAATTTTATTTTGTATTTCATAGTGAAAATACAGACTCTCTAGGGCCGCGCTAGTGCAATTTCTCTCATTTTTTTGAGAAAAACTTTTTCTTTTAGTTTTTCATTTCTTTTGATTTGATTTTTTTTCATCTTCTTGCTTATTTAAAAAAAATCAAAATTTTAATAATTTAAATTTTTTTTCGTGTGTCCTGTAATTTAATTGATAGTCCACTTGTGTCATTCTTTTGATGTCATATCGAATTTTTTCCTCATCGTGCGTGTAAATAAAAGAAGAAAAATTTTTTCAACAAATAAAAAAAGTGGAAAAAAAAATATATAATTTTGTCGTGTAAACAAATAAAGAAGCCAAGCAACCGTACGTGGCTGAAGGAAAATTTGTCATTCAGAACACAATAAGATAAACGAGTAGAAACAGCCTCCAGGGAGGTAAAGAAAAGTGAGAAGAAAACATAATTAAGTTGCTCGTATGTGATAAAATATAAAAAAAAAAGTAAGGAACGACAACTGAACAACACCTACAATAAGATTCCATATAGGTACAATCTACATACTTATAAGTATCGTCGTAGCCGTATACATAATATTAAAGACGAAAAAAAAAGTGCTGTCGTGTATATTTCTTTCCTTCCTTCATGAAAATTTAATTATAGCAAGAAAGAAAAAAATTATTTTTATACAACAAGAAAGAAATTCTTTTTTTTATATCTCGAAATATATATTTTCATGTGAAAATTGTTATATAAAAGAAATATAATCTATATACATAATAATAATTTTTTTTTGGTTTGTACGACGAGGCAAGACTGAATATTTTAACTTCTAATCGTCGCAAAAAAAAGAGAAAATAAAGCTACAAATTTTAAAGTGAAGGAAAATTCGGTATTAATACGATTATAATATACATACGGACATACACACTTGGGAGACATATCAAGAAATAGAGGAAAATTGAAAAGCATATTGCATATACACATTCGACAAAAAGAAATAAATAGGAAAATAATTTATGCAATAGCTGAAAACTATCAAATTCGATTAGCATTTTAGGTGAGTTTTTTCTTCTTCTTCTTCTGTACTTCTTGCTTATTTTTCCATTTTCATGTGTTTTTCTTCGATTTCCTCTTTTGATACACTTTCAAATAACTGCAAATAACATTCAATGCAACAACTTGCAAATGGATATTTCTTGCTGTTTGCTGGTTCTTCTCTCTTCTTTCTTTGGGTAGTCAGTTTGGGATCTAAATGAATTTGTTTTATTTTTGGGAAGTTGATTTTTTATTTTAGGCAGGGTTGCGATGCAGGCACCTGTGCACAGATGAGAAACGTACAATTCCTTCAAAATTTATGAGGTTTTATTAGAATTTGTATGGTTTATTCAAAAAACTTTACAAATTATCAAGGAATTGTAAGGTTCTAACCTATGCACAGGTGACTCTTTCGCAGCTCTGATCTGAGAGAATGGGGGAGAGGAGTGTCTGAGATATTGTAACATAGGAATAAGACTAAAATGGTTTTATGCAAATAGAACAATTTCATTTAAGAAATCTAGTTTGATAGGAATCGAACCTAAGATTACAAGTAGAGTAATTATTATTTTAATTTGTGTAAATATTCTCTTCCTCACGACCATCTACTAAACAGCTGTCTCATATATACTATAAATTACAAAAATTCAATAACGCAGTTCAATTTAGTAAAACATCTAGAAGAAAGAAGCAAACTTCTAGATTACAAAACTACAAAACGAAGAATAACTCCGAATAACGGATCCCGAGTGGGATTCGAGCCTACGAATTACGATTTCTGGTTGCATGCTTCTCCCACTTAGCTATCATGGATTAGCTTTTGTATGGCTAAAGTCCATATATAAGTTATATTCTTCTTATAGTTCCCTTGCATTAACATGATTTATCGTTGATTGGCTATATCGCTTATTCAAATACAATTTATTTACGTCCATAGTTCATCATAATACCAGACCACGAAGTCGACTCGAGATTTTCATCGATTTTATATTACTCCGAGTCAACTCGACTCAATACAAAATTTCATCGACTTTGAGTTCTGCATAATACCTAACTTTGTCATGAATATAGTCAAAATAAGTAGTCGTATTTAAATTTTTCTAAGCCTTTCCTGATAAATCCATAAATTTACCAAAAAAATTTCCATAACAAAAATGCTTTTCTTGTCGTTGTTCCTTTTTCAGAACATTTTCGATTGAATTCTTTCAATTTTCTCTTTTTAAAAAAAAATCCTTTTTTGCACATTAAGAGAATTTGCTATTCTATAAACACTCTTTTTGTGTCTTTCTACATCTACATTTCTTGTATATTCCTATTTAAAAATTGAAAATGAAAATGAAAAGGAACAGAAATGAGAGTCTATTGATTTGGCAAAAGAAGAAAAAAAAAGCAATTTTCATGTTTATAAGGTTTCATGTCTCACAGTCATTATAATCTACTAGACATATAATTTCTTTTAACAAGTGCCCAACCAACAGCACCGAAAAAACAGGATTTTCTTGTCTATTGAATAAAGATTGAGACATGAATCTTTCAATGGGATTATGTCGAATGAATTTATTGTCGCACTGGGTCAATATCATGTTCAGTAAATAAGTTGTGACTATAAGTCTATGCTGTTCATGTTCTGATAATTCTTCATGCTGAAAAGTTTATCAAAGTGGATGGGATTTAAGGTAGCAGTTATTCATGGTGTTACTGCTTTTAGACAGACAGTGATTATTATTCAATGTGTTGTTTCTGAAAATTGTGAAAGGATTAAGATTTTTTAGCTTGAAGGCAACTGCTGAATATTAATAATTCTGACTGATTATGAATGAGTTGGAAATTTTTGTTGAAAATTTAATGAAGTTTCTTTTTTGCAGTATTTTTGAATGTTTTAAAAGTTTTATAAAGTTTATGATGGTGCTGATATGAATGTTAATATGATTCTGCACAATTATGGTCATTTTGAGGTTAAGTCTGTCTCTCTCAGCATCGAGTAATAATAAATCCACACAAAAATCAAAAATCCTATAAAAATCACATCCAAGAAACAAAATCAAAGCTGCTCATACAAAGATTTCCGTTCGCATGATCAGCACCAATCAATCTCATTTCTTTTCCAACTCTTGCGTGACATCCGGTCCGATTCAGAAAATCGGTAAATTTCCTCGAAAATTTTCTCTCAAGGATTTTTATTTATTGAAGAAATCAGAAAAATAAGAATCGAAGAACTGACCAGAAACGTGTTTTTCTGAGCTATTTATTGAATGTTTCTGTAATTCTCTATCCTGAAATGTAAAACGTGCATGACGTGCTCTAATCTTGAGCATTTTTATTTGTATTTTGAAAAAAAATTCTTTGTTTGATGAATTGGTTGATTATGTGGCTTGATTTGAATGACATTATCTAAATGGGTTGTTTGGAATTTTCGGTATTGATGGATATTTGTGAATGTCAAGCTCCAAATGGCCGCTATTCATCTAGTAATGACTCAAAGATGTGGTCAGCAACCCTAACAGACAAAGAGCATGGTCTTGATCAAGAGTACGGTTGAGAATACGCTTTTTTAACATCTTCTCAAGATCACAGTATAGAGCATGTTCAATAGCATACTCAATCATACTCTAGTTTTGAAAACTTGCATGCAAGTTAATTTGCTTCATGATTTTTTATATACTCTCAAGAGCGTGATCGGAAGAATACATGAAAAACATGCTTAATAGCATACTCATAAAGTCATGTTCTATGAAACCTGGTTCTGAGCATGTACTTTTATATACTCTGTTGATCACACTCTTGTCCATAATCTACTAAGCATGGTTTCCAACCAACTCACTCGATGATAGTCTTAAGATGATGCTTCTGAGCATGTACATTTATATACTCTGTTGATCACACTCTTGTTCATAATCTACTAAGCATGGTTTCCAACCAACTCACTCGATGATAGTCTTAAGATGATGCTTCTGAGCATGTACATTTATATACTCTATTAAACCTGCTCTTGTCCATAATCTACTAAGCATGGTTTCCAACCAATTAATTCGATGCTACTCTTAAGATGATGCTTCTGAGCATGTGCATTTATATACTCTATTAAACCTAAGCTTTAAAAACAAATGTCAAATCATTATTATCTCCTTATTTAAGAGACTTGACGTTCAAAATGAATGTCAAGTCATGATTTTCTTCTTATTTAAGAGACTTGACGTTCAAAATGAATGTCAAGTCATGATTTTCTCCTTATTTAAGAGACTTGACGTTCAAAATGAATGTCAAGTCATGATTTTCTCTTTATTTAAGAGACTTGACGTTCAAAATGAATGTCAAGTCATGATTTTCTCTTTATTTAAGAGACTTGACGTTCAAAATGAATGTCAAGTCATGATTTTCTCCTTATTTAAGAGACTTGACGTTCAAAATGAATGTTGCTTCATGATTTTCTCCTTATTTAAGAGACTTGACGTTCAAAATGAATGTCAAGTCATGATTTTCTCTTTATTTAAGAGACTTGACGTTCAAAATGAATGTCAAGTCATGATTTTCTCTTTATTTAAGAGACTTGACGTTCAAAATGAATGTCAAGTCATGATTTTCTCCTTATTTAAGAGACTTGACGTTCAAAATGAATGTTGCTTCATGATTTTCTCCTTATTTAAGAGACTTGACGTTCAAAATGAATGTCAAGTCATGATTTTCTTCTTATTTAAGAGACTTGACGTTCAAAATGAATGTCAAGTCATGATTTTCTCCTTATTTAAGAGACTTGACGTTCAAAATGAATGTTGCTTCATGATTTTCTCCTTATTTAAGAGACTTGACGTTCAAAATGAATGTCAAGTCATGATTTTCTTCTTATTTAAGAGACTTGACGTTCAAAATGAATGTCAAGTCATGATTTTCTCTTTATTTAAGAGACTTGACGTTCAAAATGAATGTCAAGTCATGATTTTCTCTTTATTTAAGAGACTTGACGTTCAAAATGAATGTCAAGTCATGATTTTCTCCTTATTTAAGAGACTTGACGTTCAAAATGAATGTTGCTTCATGATTTTCTCCTTATTTAAGAGACTTGACGTTCAAAATGAATGTCAAGTCATGATTTTCTTCTTATTTAAGAGACTTGACGTTCAAAATGAATGTCAAGTCATGATTTTCTCCTTATTTAAGAGACTTGACGTTCAAAATGAATGTTGCTTCATGATTTTCTCCTTATTTAAGAGACTTGACGTTCAAAATGAATGTCAAGTCATGATTTTCTTCTTATTTAAGAGACTTGACGTTCAAAATGAATGTCAAGTCATGATTTTCTCTTTATTTAAGAGACTTGACGTTCAAAATGAATGTCAAGTCATGATTTTCTCTTTATTTAAGAGACTTGACGTTCAAAATGAATGTCAAGTCATGATTTTCTCCTTATTTAAGAGACTTGACGTTCAAAATGAATGTTGCTTCATGATTTTCTCCTTATTTAAGAGACTTGACGTTCAAAATGAATGTCAAGTCATGATTTTCTTCTTATTTAAGAGACTTGACGTTCAAAATGAATGTCAAGTCATGATTTTCTCCTTATTTAAGAGACTTGACGTTCAAAATGAATGTTGCTTCATGATTTTCTCCTTATTTAAGAGACTTGACGTTCAAAATGAATGTCAAGTCATGATTTTCTTCTTATTTAAGAGACTTGACGTTCAAAATGAATGTCAAGTCATGATTTTCTCCTTATTTAAGAGACTTGACGTTCAAAATGAATGTCAAGTCATGATTTTCTTCTTATTTAAGAGACTTGACGTTCAAAATGAATGTCAAGTCATGATTTTCTCTTTATTTAAGAGACTTGACGTTCAAAATGAATGTCAAGTCATGATTTTCTCTTTATTTAAGAGACTTGACGTTCAAAATGAATGTCAAGTCATGATTTTCTCCTAATTTAAGAGACTTGACGTTCGATTTTGTATGTCAACTGTTAAAATTTTATCATTTTTTGAGACTTGACATTCGATTTTGTATGTCAAGCATAAAATTTTATCATTTTTTGAGACTTGACATTCGATTTTGTATGTCAAGAATAAAATTTTATTTCGGTCGAATATTTTTTAGTATAAAAGAAAAGTTTCACTTAATTTTTCTTCATTCGCATTTCATACCTCAAAGAGTAAACATCTAAAATAATGGCTGGAAAAAATTCTAAAAAGAAAAGTGATCAAGTCGTGCAGAATAGGCCATTCTTGTGCGCAAGCTTTGATGATGGCTTGATGATGGTTGTTCACACAACATGGATAAAAGAACAGTTCAATGAGTCGCGCTATGAGGTGTACTATCCAAAAAAAAATGCTTCATCCCTTGTATCAAAGAACATTCCGAAGGAAAATATCATTCTTTGGGACTCCAAGCCAGTGATTATAGAATGTTCTCATGGTATGTTTTTAAAATTTTGTTATTTTTAATAACATTTAATAATTTTTTATGAATTTATCCTCAATTTAGAAACTATGATTCAGGCTCGATGTCACCAGAAGGAACTTTCTGCTTCTGATGATGAAAGTAAGAAGCGTATCAAAGTACGCAAGGACCCACTGCTTCAAGATTTAGAGAATGTAATTAAGATCTACAACTTTTTCATTTGTTAATCATACTACTAAATTCAAATTTTCTTTTAGACTGTTCGAGATCAAACCGATGGAGATGCATCAAAGCAAGTACAAAATGCAATGTCTGTGATTGAGGAAACTGTGGCTGAGGAAACTGTGGCTGAGGAAACTGTGGCTGAGGAAACTGTGGCTGAGGAAAATTCAAGTGAGCGAATCGATCAGCTTATTGAAGGTGCGGTGACTGTTGACGATTTGAAGATAATTTTGAAATCAATGAATGGCCAATTGAAACGTAAGAATGAAGACTCTCCAACAAATGATGGTAATAAAAAGAGCAGAACCAATCCCATTGAAAAGAAAATTGCATCGATCGAGGACTTCAATATGTTCTTAATAAAAGCCACCGAATCACAGGAATATAAGGAAAATCTCGTAAGTTTCTAGTTATATACAAATATTCATTAAGTAATGTATTAATTTATTCTTTACTTTAAACAGGTTCGTTATTGGAAAAAAATGCCGGGAACTGAAGGCATGACAAAGTTTGGCAATGGAAAGCTTCATGCCATTTTATTATCAATCTTTGATTTACAGTTTTTGAACGATTCGGTTTTATGGGGGAAAATTATGTGTAAAGGAGGATGCTGCAGGAGACAAAAAGCTGTATCTGAAAGTCCATGGAATATTTTTGGAAATGTTGAAAGATGTCCTTAATCTCGATGATGGAAATCCCACAAAAACTTTGGGAGACTTTATTGAAAACATCCTTAATAACAAGATTAAGCGTGACATGAAAGCTATCCTTAAGAATTCGAAAAAGAATTAAATGTAGAAAACTGTTAAAAGTAGTTTTATTGAAAGAATAAATCAGAGAAAATAATAAAGAACATTTTAAATTTATGAAATATTAATATTTTTTTCATTTTTTGTCATTTATTTCAGGATTTGAATTTGAATCATTTGATATGAATTAATATATCTTTAAAATACGCTCAGAAGCATAATCGCTTAAGTATGTTTTGTAAACATGATCTTTAGATCATGCTTAGTAATATATTCATTAGAGTATGCTTTAGAGTGTACTCCTATTACTATGATCTTTAAAATACGCTCAGAAGCATAATCGCTTAAGTATGTTTTGTAAACATGATCTTTAAAACATGATCAGCAGAACATGCTCTTGATCATGCTCTCAAGTTCAACTTGCATGAAAACTTGCAAGTAAAAAAGCGTACTCTTGAGAGCGTGATTTTTATGGTACCGTACTGCGATCTCCATTTATATGGGAGAGTACGCTAATTTAGCGTCATCAAATTAAATAATTGATTTTTAAAAAGCATGTTCAGAGCGTGCTCTTTGTCTGTTAGGGCAAATTGAATAGAAATGGGGTGGACTTGATCTGACTTGACTAAACACATTCAAAGGTCAATCCAATTAATCCCGCATTTAAAAAAACCAAACTTTTTAAAACAAAAAAAAACTTCAAAACTGAAAATTTATGATGCCTTAAGTACCGATCTTTATATCGAAAATTACTTCACAAATTACCACAATTTTTAAAGTCTGTTTTTATCTATTTTTATCGACCATACCTCCTCTATTAGGTCATCATAAACATTGAAAAATCTTAAAAAAAGAAATTTCCAATAATTGTTAATCATTACAAACAAGAAAACATCATCTACATGAGCATGCCTTGTTCTAGATTAATTGTTGTTTATACATGCTTTCATCTTCGATAGTCATGATTGTAGCTTCTGTAAACTAATCAAGAATTAATTTTCAATACTTAAATGATGTGTTTAGAGTTGTTATGGGGCTTGAGATTAAATTGTAACATAAAGTAATATGGATTGAAGCCCTTGAGTCGGATTTGTGCAAACTTGAGAATGAGGTTATGTTGAGAGTTGCCTGGAGTAGATAAAATGTAATGCTAGACTCACCATGCTATTTAAGTTTGAATGTTGATGCGATTTTAGGTTTAGATTATTTCTTTGCACTTTTATTAAGCTTCCAACTTGATTAAAAGGCATCTGACAGAGTCAAAACCCAAACAATCTCATCACAACTTCTAAAAATATCAACAAATCCAGCAAAACCTTCTCATACATCCTTTTAAATTCTGACGAAAATCTCTTAAACAAAATTCATTATTTATAAACAAATCATCATTCATTTTAATATTTTCATTTTTGGCATGAAAAATTAATTTTCTTTTCATTAGAAAATTTTCTTTTCCACTCTCAACACTAATAAAAAAAAATCTATTTTCACATTCTCAATGGCTCTGCAAATCGGCAAATATTTTCTCTCGAAAAAAAAAAAAATTTAAAAGAAAATTGAATTTATATTGATACGATCTTAATAATTGAAGATGCTGAAACATATAATTTTCTACACAAACACATTTACGCCACCGTCAATTTTTTTTCATATTCAGTTTTTCATTCTTTTATTTTATTTTGAGTGCCGAGGCCGTTTTTTTTGTTGAATTTGTTGAAAATGTTTTTCTTTTTTTTCTCGTCGTTTTCTTCACTCCAATGTTTGCCCCACATTAATCTAGTTTAGTAATCGTGAAGATATATATCTTTTGATTCAATAGATGAAAAATGAGTTCGATGAAATGCTGGAAGTGGAAAAAAACGTGTAAACAAACGAAAATAAAGCATAGTTGGATGAGAGGAAAGGTTTAGTTGTGAAATCGTAGGTTATTGATGGATTGGACGCAGTTTTAATAGCTTTGTTGATTTTATGGAATATTTTTAACACAAGAGAATGTGGTAAAGTTAATTTTATCACAATTGTTAATCAACTTCAACCAAACTTCAACAAAAACTTCAACAAATTCGCCACAAGATTCACCAAACTTTTTAAAAAAATTCACCAATTTCTTTAAATTCACCACAAACTTGTTCAAACACCACAAAAATTCGCCAAACACACCATAAAATTCACCAATCTCTTAAAATTCACCAATCTCTTAAAATTCACCAAAAACTTGACAAAATTGTTCAAACTCACCACAAAAATTCGCCAAACTCACCATAAAATTCACCAAACTCACCATAAAATTCAACAAACTCATCATAAAATTTACCACAAACTTGACCACATTGTTCAAACTCACCACAAAAATTAGCCAAACTCACCATAAAATTCACCAATCTCTTAAAATTCGCCACAAACTTGACAAAATTGTTCAAACTCACCACAAAAATTCGCCAAACTCACCATAAAATTCACCAAACTCACCATAAAATTCAACAAACTCATCATAAAATTTACCACAAACTTGACCACATTGTTCAAACTCACCACAAAAATTAGCCAAACTCACCATAAAATTCACCAATCTCTTAAAATTCGCCACAAACTTGACAAAATTGTTCAAACTCACCACAAAAATTCGCCAAACTCACCATAAAATTCACCAAACTCACCATAAAATTCACCAAACTCATCATAAAATTCACAACAAACTACACCAAATTCTTCAACCCACCATAAAATTTACTAAACTTACCACATAATTCAATAAACTCACCACAAAAATTCATTAAACTCACCACAAAAATTCACTGAACTCACCACAAAACTCAACAAACTCACATGAAACTCACTCATTTTATGAATTTCAACATAGCAGTCAAAATATACGCCAATTTCCCATAAAATATCCATCCATAAACCATAATTCAATAAAATATCAACAGAAGCCATCGAAATTCCAATCAAACAACAAAAATTCAACCCAGCCAGGTCAAATACCTTCCCAAAAACAAGCTTACAAGCGAAAAAAAAACTTCCAAAACAACAACCTTAACAGAAATTAAATTATCACGATTGTTTTTCTTTCTCTCCAATTTCTGCCTCCGCATACAATTTTTTTTCCATCGGTTTGGAGAGCCATTGAGTCAGGGCTCTTTAATATCTATATAAATTCATCATGAGCATTCCTAGTACCCACAGGAGGTGATAAAGAGCAATAAATCACCATTGCTTAAACAAGTCAAGACAGAGGAGCATAAAAACAAGACAGAGAAAGAGAGAGAGATGAAAAATTCTACTGTTGATAGTTAATAGTTTGTGTCATGAGACCATAGAGAAATTGGATAAATGGACTTGCTATGGATATGATGAAGAACTCACCTTACATTATAATTTACGTTGTGCTTTCCCTCATGACTATGACCCGAGCTGTATATTTGTTTTGTGAAAATTGAGATACGATATTGGTGTTGTTAATGAGAATTGGTGTGAATTTGAGGTTATGTTGGTTCAATTGTCTCTGAATTGTTGTTATGTTTGTGAATTAAATCGTTTTAGGTTGAAAGTAAGAAAAGTCTTAACAGTTGAGTAAGTTGGTGACTCAGATAGTATCAAAAATGATTTTATGTCGGGAAAATTAGATTTAAATCATGCGGTCTTCTTTGGTTATCTTAATATGGGGTTTACTTGACCCTAGGAGGATCTTACATGTGACTAAGTTAACAATTGAATTGTTCTTGTTATCTAAAGCAGTGATGGTCAATCTAGGTGCTGCGTCATACTAGTGTGCCACGAAATTTATTCACTTCCTTGGCTGGGGCACACGTGGGCCCATTGCCACGTTCAGAGATCATCTTAAGACTGCTTTATCCTTTGACCCTTTCTGCCAGTTCGAAATATTAAGGATCCTCTAGATCTCTTGCCATCTATAAAGTCTGCAACAGTCATTCTGAGTACTGGGGCATCTTGCCACGAAAAATATGGAAAAATCCCCCCAGCCATATGTCGTGTGACATACCACCAAGGTAAGTCGTTGCACGAAAAAGGTTGTTCACCACTGTTATAAAGTAGCCAAAAGTAGATAATGCTAGAAATTCAGTTCAGACTGCTCAAAATCCTACAAATTGCATAAAAATTCAAGACCAAAATCACACCGCCATTGCCTCATCAAACCATCAAAGACATTGTCACTCGGTCATGATACTGAAAAAAATAAAAATTAAAAAATATATTTTACTATAGATCTTTCTCATCTTTCCTTCACAACTCAACTGTTGTTGTTATTTCTACTTTAATGACATTATAAAAATAATAAGAAATGTCTATTAATACCCCTCAATCTCTCTTATTTTCTTCCTAAACAACAAAAAACTACTCCGATGATGAAAATAACATTTTATATCTCTCAAAGATTATGCGACACATCATATATATATATATATGTACAACATAAAATCTACTGCATCTCACAAATGAAAAATAATTTTGAGGTCATTGCCCCGATTCTGATGTCGTGAGGTAGTTTTTTTATTTTGTTCTGTATGCCTATGAGCATTTAAATGTCCCAACTACGGCATGATTATCAACGAGAACAGAAGTAACATGCTGAAATATTAAATTACCCCTGGAATATAAAGAATGAGAGAATGCCACAGTCACAACTACATAGATGAAAAGGAAGGGAGAAAGAAAAGAATGCACCATATGCGATATCATATGTAATGAAGTGTATGACGAACGAGGGGTGAAAAAAGAGAGCAATGAATGAAGGCAAAATGAAATTATTTCAGAGACATAATCAAAGGATGAAAGACATTAATAAATTTCATGTTAAGAAAGGATATGGCATATCAACCAGTGAACTTTTGCTTCGCTGTGCCAATCACTGAAATTCCCTGTGCATTTTGAAACGAAACATTTCGAGGCGAAAAGGAAAGAAAATTTCA